AACTTGTAATGGTTATTTATGATTAAAAAAATAAACGCCACCAACCTGATGGCGGGATTAAAAAAAAAAAAAAAAAATAAGTTTATTAGAATTAAATATTATTCTAATTATAGTTTATACTTTTTTTAAATTATTAGCAATAAAAGATTGATAATAATCCATCATTTTTTTAATAAAATAAAACTTTATAAAAATAAAATAAAATTAATTATTTGATTTTTATTTTAATTATTTATTTCAAATATTTTTTATAATAATTAAATATTATTAAATTAAATAAGATTTTTAGAATAAAAACTTTAAATATTTCTTTGGTTTTGTATTAATATGCAAGGTCATCTGCTTTACCAGATGTGATTTGGTCAATCAGAATCCTGTATTATGTCAACTGTTGTAAAAATAAATAACTAATAAAATTTTTTTTGTATTTCATTATTTTTTTTGTATTACCGTAATCCAAATCTTATTGAGATCAGTAATCAAACCTAATTTGTATTATTCTTGATTTTTACAAATAAGTACTAACTTGATTGCCAGTTTCCTATATATATATATATAAACAAATAAATTTTCCTATGTTGCATCTCCTTCGTGGCGCAAAATTACTTGTTCCAAGACTGCATTAGATTTACATTGTTTTTACTAAATCGATAGTTTTATCACCAAATTGTGGCACAATTCAATGATATGATAAGGCGATAATTTGCGTTCCTGAAGCTGTTCACCTTTTTTTTTACGACCGCCCTTTACGACAAGAACTTAACAACTTTTGCATAGTAGTAAAATGGAATCATTTCAAGCTAAATTCAAGTACTATAACGCACAAGCTGATAAAGAGCTCTCGAAATACCCTCTAGCAAGACAGGTGGAGTCTTACCTCAACGTTCCGAAGACCTACGTTGCATATGGTGCCGGTGGTTTCATATCCCTCTTAATCTTTTTTAACGTCTGGGGACAATTGCTTTCCAACATTATCGGCTGGGGTTATCCAGGTAATCTTATGGAGTGACCATTTGTTGTTATGCATTACGAAGCCTCCGTTTACTGCGCCTTTTGCTCATTTTATATGGTTGGTTCGATTTTCTGGTTTCTTTTATATTAGCCTATGCTTCTTTTAAGGCTATCGAGACTCCCGACGAAAAAGATGATATTCAATGGTTGACGTACTGGTAAGAATCTTGCATAAAGTTTAAACCAGATTTCTCTAGTCGTAAATTTATATATTCGAGTGCGTCATCCTGTAACTTAAAAATTACCATCTTTGGGATAATGTTACGAATTCTGTGTTTAGGACCGTATTTGGTTTCGTTAATCTTGCGGAATTCTTCTCGGATCGCATTCTTTACTGGATGCCTTTTTACTACCTCTTTAAGACATTATTTTTCCTTTGGTAAGTTGGAATTCCAATAGATTTTGGTATTCAATGCACAAACCCTATCAAATTAATTTACAAATTTTCAATATAATTAGGCTCTTCCTTCCTCCCTTCAAAGGTGCCCATACTGTCTACCATAAGTTCTTGAGGCCCACTTTATTGGCCTACCAAGGTGATGTTGACAGTGGATTGAAAAATATTAAGGATAAAGCAGGAGATATCTTCAGTGCTGCTGCCTCTAATGTTTCACATCTTGCCGCTGAATAAATTTAAGTGGTCACAAAGTGTAATTTATTTCATATTCGAGCTTACGAATTGTAAGTATTATATATAGTATTATATATATAAATAAAATCTGTATTTTTTCTCTTTGGTTATTTATCCATTTGTTAAATAAAAAAGAATGTTTGCAGAAAACAGTTGCATATGTAAAATTTTTTATAACATTGTACATATTTAAGGTATAATAATAAATATTCCGTATCACAAATCACAGTGATCTTTATTTATACATATGATCTTACGATTTATGCAAACACCAATCACATTAAGTTAGCTCGGCACATGACATAAAGTCTTGTTTACAGTGAATGATCGACGAACGTGCTTCTTACATCGCAATAATAAACACTCGTCATGTCAAACTCGGATTTTGACCGTTACGATTGGATGTTCACCTCGCCCCTAGCAAAGAAAGAACGTGTTGAGGGTCTTGAAGAAACCAAAAGCTCTTCGGTGAGACGTCCTTGCTCTCGAAAAACAACAAAGGACAATCGCATAGACAAGGTTAATTTTGACACGACTCAAATTGCCTCACCACTTTATTTCTGATAGTTTGGCTTGAACTTCCACTCTACAGGACTCCTCTAAACCCGTAGTTACTTGCTCTCCGGAAGCGAATGACGGTGGCATGGAAAAGGTCAAAAGGCTCTCGAAAAAGAACTCCACGTCGAAAGTCCAGCAAGCGAATCCGGAAGAGACACGCCCAAATCGACTTGATAAAAAGGCGTCACCTGCACCCTCTAAAAAAAGGAAGGCGATCCTCTCCACAAATGAAGAGAGTTCGAAGTTCGTAGAGCCTGACTTATCTGCAGAATCCCCTAAATCCGCAAAAAAATCCTGCTTGCGTAATCTTCCTGAAATTCCAACGGATCAAGTTCCTATTTTCAAATCTTCCGAATTTGTGGCTGAAGCGTCTAATATTATTCATTCCAGCGACATAATAGTCGAATTTAATAACGAAAACAAAGATAAGAAACGATATTATGAAGACTGTAAGCATTTTACTTTCTCTTGATTTCGGCGCTAAGCTGTTGTTAAAGTTTTTGTTTTTAGTTTGTCGTCCGAAAGCAAAAAGTCATGACGAAGAATATCGTAAATCCATGAATTATGAAGGGATATTGGAAGTCAGTTTGGAATATCCTGGGTCTGAAGTTCAAGAAAGGCATATATTTGGTTCCCGACAATTCAGTGAAATATTTTTAATGCGCGCTTAGTTAACTTATCATTGGCTGTTCACGTAGATATCTAGTGGCCGAATGCATAGGTCACCGTAATAAAGACGAATACAAACCTATTGATGATCTTTTACGAACAGTGAAAATAATTATTGAAACAATGTTGACACAAGAAGCAGCTAAGAAGTTTGAAAACCCCAATATCTTGCTTAAAAAAGAAAAATCTACAAAAAGGGGTAATATCGAGAGGAGGTTAGACAGAGCTAAGAATCGTGGAAATTTTGACGATTTTGTCAATGCAGTTGATATATTTAACCAATATTTACAAGACGAAAAAAGGAAAGGTGGATTTCTCGCTGACCATGTGATTAATCCCGATCCCTATGATTCGGAGTATCGGCAATTAATTCACCATATCGTTCAACAAGTTTACGATCGCGTGGTCGCTCCACACGTGGACATAATCAAAAAAGGTAGTTATATCATGTTTCGCCTGGAATTTTTTATTCTTTTAAGATAATAAATAATCAATCTTTTTTTTTTTTGAAATAGGACGTGGAAAGAGCGAAGACTACGGAGAACTCCTACCTCCTTTCATTGATGACATTATCGAAAAAACTAAACTGAACCGTGATTCGGTTTTTTTTGATTTGGGTTCGGGGGTTGGGAACGTTCTGTTGCAAGTGGCTGCTCAAGTGGGGTGCAATGTTTATGGGGTTGAGATCAATGATGCACGGTATCAAATTTCAATTCGACAATCAAAAGAATTCCTGGCAAGATGCCGGTGAGTAATTTGATTCTCCATTACTTTAATTCTTTACGAAATTAGATATTTATTTATTACTAACCCGATCTACATCTTAAATTTTAAAGTTTGTATGGTATAAAATCAGGGAAAGTAACAATTGCGAAAATTGATTTGAATTCACTTTCAAAGAACAGAGAATTATTTGAATCTTTCAAGAAAGCTTCTGTAGTTTTAGTGAACAATTTAAATTTTAGTCCAGAATTAAATTTCTTGCTAAGTAACCTCTTCCTGGATTTACCACCCACGAGTCAAATTGTTTCCCTATTAAGCTTTGGTGGGTCGGTTACCGAAACTAAAAGATCGGATTTGATTGCAGTAGAAAATGTTAATGTTGTCGCATATCAAGAGAACTGGGTCTCCTGGACTCACAGAAGTGGTCATTATTTTAGTGAGTACTACAAGTGTTATTACTTTAGTATTATTATTATATCTTGATTACTCATTCATATTGCTTTTAGTTCAATCGCGTATAAACGAATCTGTGAAAGAAGAGAAAAGGAAGAAAAGAAGGGGTCATTAATATTCCTTACTTTTTATTTTATTTATGATAAGTCGCGATATCGATAGAAAAAGAAACTCAAATTTTATAGACTTGTTTTTTCCTTCATTTCATACACGAAACTCTAAGTAACCTTGAGTTTGGTATCGCAATGGTGGATCCGATTATCAAATAATATAAAATTTTATTACTAGACAACGTATTCCGATCTTTAGACAATACCAAATGAGATAAATATTGACAACGGGACCGAAATCGGTATTAATTTGGCCAAGGGATAGGTTACTTTTCTGTTGTTCAGAGGACATCACGTTTACCTATCATGCATTATGACTATAAATATTGATTTTATGGTTTATTATATTTATTATGTAATTTCTTTATATAAATTGATAAATTATTTATTTAATATTTCATCATACTTTATTTGTATATATAGTGTAACTTTTAGTCATGTATAATTAATATAATATAATTAAACATATATCTATTAAAACTATACACGATTTTTGTTTTATTCATCAAGTATTGGAAATTCAAATATCAGAAAAATACAAGTTGAATAAAAAAACACTTGACGCAAATTTCTTTTTAATTTCAAACAAATATATTATTAATATAATATATAAAAAAAAAAGAAAAAACAAATAAAAATTTCATAAATTTTTGTTTACAAAAAATATAACAATTAATTAATTATTATTTTCTTTTTAATATTTGTTCTTGGTTTAAAATTAATAAATTATTATTTAAACAATAAACTTATTTGATTATTTGTTAATTAGAATATTGCAAATAAAAAATTGACAATTTATAATGAAAATTTTTTAAAAAATTTTGATTAAATTGTAATATGAATAATAATATTATTAATTAAAAATAAAATTAACAATAGATATTATTTATCCTATATTTTTTTAATCAAATTTTTTCTAAAATGCAAAAAGTATTAATAATTTCTATTTATTATGATTTTTTTTTATCAAAATAAATATAGTATGTTTAAAAGTTTGATAAATATTTTTTAAAAATATAAAAATAAACATTCAAATTTTTTATTAATAAATTTAATTTTTAATCTAAAAAAAAAATTTGATTATATATAAATTATAGTTGAAAAAATAATTTATCTACAAAAATTTTTTTTACTAAGTTTTGATTAATTGTTAAATATTTTTATTTTATTTTACAAATATATAAACTAAAACCATTGTATATAATTTATTTATTTATTTATTATAATTTAATTAAATTAATAATTAAAATAATATTAATATAACTTTTTTTAAGTTAAATAAAATTTTAATAATTAATAAAAAATTTTAAAAAAGTTTTTTATAATGTACAAATTAATTTTATAAACATTATATTATTTTTTATTTTATAAAAATCATTTTTAAAAAATTTTAAACTTTAATTTTAATATAAATTTTAAATATAAATTTTATATTAAATTTTAATAAATTTTTTTAATCAAAAAATCAAATAAGCAACTTAAATTTAATTAAAAGTTATTTTTTAATAAATTTTGTTTTTATTTTATAAATTGATAAATTAAAATTGTTATAAATTATTTATTTATTTATTATAATTTAATTAAATCAATGTATTTTGAAAAATTTTATTTTAATATAACAATGAATTTCAATAAATTTCAATAATACAGTATATTAATAAAAATCTATTAAATAAATTTATTTTTTATATTCTTATTAATATATATTTAAATTTTTACTTTATTTTATCAATTATTTTTTGAATTATGAATAAAAATAAAAATTGAAAATTTGTTCAAAAACTTTTTAGACAAACTGTATATTACTAAATAAAAATATTTTTATCCATTAAATAAATAACATGAGAATAACCTGAAAAATACATAAACTCAGAATTTTATCCCTATATTACATTTACAATTCACTATCTTTCGTATAATAAACTTCATTTTTTTTATTCTTTGAAGAAAATGAACTTTTTTTTTATGGTACCTGCTTTTTTTATTGAAACCTCTTCAAACATAAACAAAAGATAACATAAGTTATACTAAACAGCCTCCCTTGAACATCAAAAACTATACTAAATTCTTCTGAATTGGATGTAGTAACATGTAGAATATGATCGATCAAATAAATATTGTGAAAAATTTCCAAGATTTATAATTAATCATGACTATATTATTAGCAAAAAACTACAAAATAAATAATAAATAAAACTTAGTATGAATGTATTATCATTTAAAAAAAACACAAGAATCCGGCCGGATATTAGCTTTTATTCATTACATCTTTTTAAATCTAAATCAGATATTTAACAACTCAAATGAAAAGACTATCTTTTATTTGCAGAAGGCAATATATTGGGTTTAACAAAAATTGATTATACTGTATATTGACAAATTGCTTTGAAAAGTGTACGCCTTTTTAACGCAACTTACATTTTAAGTGTGTTTCTCATATATATATTCTTTCAAAGCTAATCTTCATTGAGACAGTAGTTTCCATATATTAAATGATCGAGTTAAAATATTCCAAGAAAATTCTTATCAAATTCTGAGAGTAAAATATTTAAGATGAGGAGAAGATTACGCTCCTGAGGCCACAAGTCAAATTTATTGACTTCTACCCTGCTTTCGTAAAACTTATCAACATTTCATGATGATCCAATATGACACAATATTCTTATTTATTCGAGTTTTTGATTGTCTTTATATTTTTTAAAAAAGAAAGAATAAGATTTTTATCAACAGCACTACTAATTTAACAACATTCACAATATCATTCAAATGCTACAAATCACTTATATCTTTTATAAACCCATCTCGGAAATAGAAAAGATTTATTTACATTAATTTCTAAAGACAAAATTTAAAGAGGAAAATTTAGAAAGCCAAAAAAATATCAAATAAACACGGAGAAGCGAAGTCAGGGGTAAAGTCGCGTGTCGAAGCGCAGAGCGAACATCACTTGAAGTAGGAATGAAATAATATCACGTGAATAAAATTAGGAAACTGCTCTTTCCCTTTCTCTAATTAGAATCGATAACTAGTTTAATCGTTATGTTATTTTATGATGGGTCCATCATAATTTAAGATACAGTGCATTAAGAAAGTCTTTGGACAAAATTTCGTATAACAAAGTTGATCTATATAAATTTTCCATTTTAAGTT